CCTTTGGGGAAAGACACTTGAGGACAAGAACTGATGTGCTTTGAGAGGGATATGGTTACCACATATGTAGTAGGTTTAATATAGTGAAGAAATACTGAAAGCTGTAAAAAGTTTCATGATAGTTTATAACCACACATCACTCCTATCCTTGAGACCTATTCAAGCTACAACATCTCCAGAGATCTATTAGCTATGACAATTAATTTGTTAGTCAGCATTACAGAGTAGATTATTCCTGAATTAGCCTTAGAAAACGAGTAGTTCAAGTATTAAACAGGTAAGCAATGCATGCTAGGCGAGCTCACTCCCACATATACACATCATAGCATGTACACATACACCCCCCTGCACATGCACACTCACACACATGTGAACACCACACACATACACCACATACACACACCACACACATGAACATGCATGCACACTGACACAACACACACTTGTGCATGAGTGAGTACAAGTCTGTGTATGTATGTGCACACACACACACACACACACACACACACACACACACTGCTGTATGCAATGCCCTGATCTTGTATGAATATTGTCTAATGATTGTGGAGAAAATACATAATTTTTTATTTTTTCTTCTTTGTATTTCTTAAGCCAAAGGCAGTGTTCCTACTTTCATTAAAGATTTATTAAATTCAAAACTAAGGAAATTGAATGTAAGAAAAATAATAGCTAGCATTCTCTTTAGGCCTTTCACATTAAAATAGCATTAAAAAGGATGAAAACAGAGCAAATTTAATTTGTTTCCCTGATTTCTCACTCCTTTATTCCTACTTTCTGTCTTCTATTTATTCCCAGTAGAACGAGATTGGGTTTTCTCTTAACTCTCAAATTCCCTCACTTTTGTTGGTTTAAGCGATACCCACAGGGGACATTTTTCAAAGTAGTATGCCAGGATTTAGCTGTGGGAGGCCCATTAATACACCACATAGAATTTTACTCCCCATAATGGAATTTAAAGAGAGCTATTTGTTTTGACTGTGTTCTTTGTGTATGCCTGAAGGTTACCATAGTAAACCCCTGCCTTGGCAAATGTGTAGTCAGAAGTTTCAGGGTTAAAATGGCAGTGGGCAAGGGAGAAGGCAATTCCAAAATATCTCATAAGTGAAATCCTGGTAAAAAAGAGAGGGTCTCTGTGGTCTGCTTTGTTCTGATTTTGATTTCCTTCACTGGGAATGGAGAACAAATGACTCTTGTTCCCAACTCCTCTCTCAACAGCATCAAGATCCTCACCTTTCTGGTTCTTGTTACAATGTCTTCTTTAACATATTATTAGGTCAGTTTTCTGCCTGGGAATATTTGATTTCTTGGTTGTGGTTCCAAATGACCATGGGAATTAAAGCTTAACATGTAGCTACCATGCATGGAATTTGAAGTTGGATGGTTCTGCATTCAGATTCTTAAGTTGCTACTTCTGATTGGCTGTATCAACTTGGGCAAGTCAACGAACTTCCCTGAGCCCTGCTTTCTCTCAATTTACTTTTCTAAAATAAAACAGTCCACATTTTGGGGTGGACTGTCATAAATTTACTTGATATGAAGAGAAGCTTTCTAAAATACTTCCTGGCCCATGGGAAGCACAGATAAATGGTGGCTTCCCATATGTATTTAAACTTGTACTCAGCTTGGATAAAATAACCAAAGGAGACATATGTTCTCTTTTATTATGAGATATATTTCACCACGTTCTTCAAAGACAAGAAAATAACAATGGTGATGGTTGCTGTAGATACGCAGCTAAGCAGGCTTCATTTGGCTCTGCCCGAACTGTGTCTGAAGTCTGTCAAGTACATCGGAATAATGCAACATCCTCTTCTATTGTGACTGGATGTTCGCATTATGTCTCCATGATTCATGCATTGGAGGGGGAAATTGAATTAGCTGAGGAGGGAAATAAAAAATTTAAGAATAAGTTTAACAAGATCAATTCTTTTATAATTGGAGCGTTTGCTCTCAGCCTTGAAAAATAGCATTTAAAAAGGTGTTCATGGTCTGTGACTATCATTTGTAAAGTGAAAACTAAGTTTGGTGCCCAAAGGCTCAGCTGAAAATGGTGTCTTTGAAGGGACTTTTTCATTTCACAGGGAGAGCAGCTTTATAGCATGCTGTCCCTTGCGCTGCTATTCCTGCTTTAAATTAAATATGGAAGTGCATCACATGCTCATGTTCTCATTTTTACATTATCTGTATAACATTGTTATCATTTTTTTATAAAATAATACGGGTAAGTTTATAAATTAACTCTCTGAAGTTCAGCAAGCCTTATGTCACTACTTGTTACATGTGTAACTTTAGCTAAACTATTTAACATTTCTCAGCTTCCATTTTTGTCATCTGTCAAATGGGACAGTAATTCATTTTGTAAATGTTTTTTAGGAAGTACTAATATTTACTGACATTTTCTTACAAGATAGTGTGATAAATATAGACTTCAAAGCTGGGCACCCATATATAATCCTGCTATTTCTCTGATTTCTTTGATGAATTACAAGGTAGGGGAGATTAAGTTAATCTTTCAGGAAGGGAAAGGCCATCAACAAAACCTACAGGTAGTTTTGTGCCTGCTTGGATAAGCAAACAGAGCAAGGAACAAGAGAACAACCTGGAGAATGATAGAAGTAAGGTGCTTGTGCCCATGAAGTAGAAGTAACAAGCCAGGTTCCAGTAGAAATCTTAAGAAAGTCTGGAAGCATTGGCGTCTGTCTTTTTTGGAACCCTAGGCAAATGAATTGTTATAAAAAGCCTCATTGCACTACTTGAGAGATCATCTGTAGAGATGGCAAGAAGTCACAAGACAAAGAAGAGACTTGTAGAATGTGGAGAGGAGAAAGGCCCAGCTATTATGGCAGATGCATTGTTATCTGGACTAGGGTGGTCCTCTGGCCACTTCCATTAAGATTCCATTTAGATGACTTTCACCAACAACCTGATTATAGATTTATTTTAGATAATAATAAGACCAAAGGAGGAATTGTAGAAGAAACAATCAGTAACCTACTGTGTTATGTGACATAATTGGATGACTATAGCATTGCGAGAACTTGTACAACTGTTGTTTTGTATGCATTTCCTTATTCTTTTATTTTTTTTCTCTCTTACATATTATGATCCCTAGAGGTCATGAAACTTTTTACACTCTGTCTAGAGGCTTTATAAGAGAGATTGCTTACTCATGCAACCTCAAGGACTGCACTCAAGGTTCCATTGTTTATTTGTCTATTCATGCCTTTCACCTATTTATGGAGCTTCAAATCTATCAGCTAACTGAATGTCCTATTTTGAAAGCTTTTCATTGAATTCATGGCATTATTCTCTTTAATAATTTTAGTAACTACCTATGTAGTATAACATTCTCTGTTTTATTGTGACGTTTCCTTGACAGGTGTTATTTCTGTTACCTGTCAGCATACTTTCTGCTTTACTGTTAGGTGATCTCATCATCCCCAAAACAACAATTGTGTGTGTGTGTGTGTGTGTGTGTGTGTGTGTGTGTGTGTGTGCGTGCTTGGTACAACTTCCCTTCTTACTGTTTTCTACCTTCCAAATATTTCATATTCCTCCAGCTTTCACTTTAGTTCCAAATCATTTGTGAATCTTTTCCTAATATCTCCATAGTTTTTCTTCATGTCTATATTTCCATAAGACTAATATGTAACTTATGCATCTTTTTATGGCTAATTTTGACTGTTAATTAGATTGAGAGGAGCCTAGATAGCAAAACAGGTCTCTGTGTGTGCTATTATGGATTTTTTAAAGAGTCAATTAGATGCTTAGGGATGATATAATATAATTCATTAAAGAACTCAAAATCTGAATAGATTCTTGAGAGGGTGCTGAACTGTGGAAGGTAGTACCTCGTTAAGGGGAATGACTCAGTAGAACGCATCCTTGGGCTACATATATCTTGCCTATGCTCCTTCATGTTTCACTTCCCTGTTTCCAGTCTACCATGGTGTAAACCGCTCTGTCTTTCATGATGTTCCCAGCCATGATGGACTGAAATCTCTGCTTCTTTGTCCACCATAAATGATGTTCTACCCAAATCCACTGGGACAAGCAACCATGGACTGAATCATTTTCAAGTGTAAATAAAAACATTTTGTTATAAATTTGTTCTCTCATGTATTTTGGTCACAACAATGAGAAAGCTTAAATATCTTTACACATTATTTTAATGTTTGCTCATGAGTAAATATTACTGATTAGAAACCATTATAGATAGAAGTTAGTTTAATATTAAAATATTCTTCATCCTTTCATGAGGCCCAATTCATGTGGGTAATATTAAGGTTTAGGATAACATTTGAAAATTGTACATAATAGTTTCATCTATTCATACATAGAAAGTAAAATTTCAGGGGGCATAAGAAGACCCTTATCTTAGTGGAGAGGGAAAATCATTAATGGCGTTATCTTGAAGGAAGTTTAGCCTGTAGATGCTAGAAGCCATAAAAGTAGTTTATTAGACAAAGACAAGCCTAGTTTCTCCCTGACTTTTATTTTTGTAAAATGTAATTTGTCCTGTCAAAAATTAAATTAACTTGGTACATTTGGTGTTGTCAAGGGATATAAAGGCAGAAATAATGAAGACTTAACAAGCTAGCATGTTTGGTGACTTGAGGGGAGAAAAGCCCAAATGAGAGCAAGATGGGAGACTAAGGAATGTCTTTATGGAGAAACATTTTCACAATGAGTGGCCAGTTGGCAAAGGAGGAGAAACAATGAGCTTCCTTGGTTTCTAACTTTGGAAACATTTATAACTATACCAAGTTAGGGAACATAGACTATGAAGCAAGCAAGTGTAATGGGGGATGATCAATTACCTTGTAGAGTCATTGAACATGAATCATCTGACGAGTATGTAAGTGGGAATCCATGAAGGATTATGGAATATAGGTATAAAGCTCAAGAGAAAATTTGAAGTTGTGAATTATTACCATATATATTAATTAAATTCTTAGAATTAATGAATTCTCTCCTAGAAAATTTTGGCTAAGAACAGATCAATGAAGACTGATGATGTATGGAGTAGAAGAGACATCCTCCAAATTGGTAGGTATCAACTGTGAAATACTCACAAAGAGCACAAAGCCCCAAGATTTACACTGGATTTTGACACATCGAATATTTAATTGAAAGTTCAATGTTTTCCTCTGGGATGAAGGTGGAAGCTGCAAAAAAAAATGTAGGGTAAGCAGGGGAGAAACTAGTAAAGTATGGTTGTGAACATATTAGTAATACAAACAGTTGTCAATGAGCTAAAGTATCTTCACTATGTTAATTTTGGAGGGGTCTGAGTAGACACTGCAGTTAAGGGAAGAGAGAAGGTGTAGAGAAATTTCTAATATCTAAAAGTGGGTCTAAATTCTTTCTTTGAAAAACACGTATTTTCAAAATCATTATATTAAAATCATGATATGAATAGGTAATTGCCTATTATATATTTGTGGTTAGGAAAAAATCTGTGTTTTAGACAAATATGTGGTTTTCAATATATTTATTTTTCCTTCCTCACTGATTCAAGCAACAGAAGATCCTATGCCATGAAAAATGTTTAAGAAAAAAAAGAATAACTTTATTTCACTAGTCTTGATTTGTTTTTAGAAGTACCTGAAACAAAGTATATCAGTATATTTTACTGGCCATGAGTCTATGCATACAATTCTCCTGGACTATGAAGTTATTAAGTAAACTTATTTTCATAATGTTTATCTGTCCCACTACAGACATTAAAATGATAGATTTTGACTTTCAATAATGAAAACCAAATACATTGATAGAGAATGTGGAAATAAATTAAACAATAAACCGGATGATAAAATGCTTAATACTTTAATTTATTCAGGAAGAAAATAACATTTTTTCTACCAGGTATATTTTCATGAAGAAACAAAAAAAAGCCTGTGATAATAAATGTTTTCCTTTTATGTTATACTTTATTATAAAAATGTAGTAAAATATGTAGTTTGGTTTAGACAGAGGGTCCCTCAAGGGCCTTGGTTGCAGGGACAGTTATATAGGTATTGGAAATGTTAAGAGGTTACAGGGTGGCGAAGTGCCTTCCAGTCTTAAGGGAATGGTGCTTGCAGGGGACTTTGAGATCAGGGCCATCTTATTTCTGCTTTTTTTCCATTTCCTGCCCGCAGTAAAGTGAATAGCTTTCTCTACCACATGCTCCTTGCTAGGATGTAGTCTTTGTCTACAGGCTTCACCCAACCATGGACTGAAACTTCTAGGACCAAGAGCCAAAATAGACCATTTACATTTTATAAACTGATGGATCAGGGATAGCAAAGCCATGCTATTTCATAATAAAATGATTTCAGCTGTGATCATGGCATCCTCATCCTCTTGCCTCTCATCAGTTGGACTTTACCTAACATTTTCAACATTCATAGATCACCAAGAGGCATTCTATATTTCTAATTTGTTTGTTTCCACAGTTAAACCAGAAAGCCAGAATGACTGGACCACTACCCCTATCTGATACTGGTTGGTGAGAAAAAAAATTCAACTTACTTTTCACACACAGCAAAATACAAAATCTCCGCAGCTTAAGGCACTATTTCATTCAACTCAGGTGGCTGTCATTGTTAGCAAAGTGTCCTTTGTCTCTATTCCTCTTAGTTGATCTTAGGGAATAAATTTGACATATGTGACATGTGAACAATTTACTACTTTTTGTTAACTTACTAGCCTTGTAAATTATAAAGTAAATAGGAAAGTATCTTATTACATAAGTTGGGATAAACTATTTTTTATGCTAAATGTTAGGCTTGTCCCAAGAAGATCGCTCCCCCATCTGTGTGTGTATATGTATGTGTTGTCTAGAACTATGTACACATAAAAACAGCACAAAAATTATGTCTGTAAAGCACACTGAATACATGACACCAGATGGAGGCTGTATAAGGAGCCCCGACTCACTCCACAAAATTCTGTGACCATTAAGATTTTTGAGTGGCTTTATGTTGAAGTTTTTATCTGCAATGAACATCTACAACTCAAAGAAGCTTTCTGTTGGACAATTCGATGGCATAATAGGAAAGGGTGTTATTTCCTAGTTGTCAAGCAGAGAATTATGGAGTGGAAACTTAGAGGTAAAGCTGAGTCAGATTGGAACATTCTTGAAATTGAAACACACTGGAAGCTGAGAAGTTTGAGATTAGCATGGGATTCATAGTACGATCCTGACCCACACACAGAAAGAGGGAGAGAGACAGAGAGACAGAGAGAGAGAGAGAGAGAGAGAGAGAGAGAGAGAGAGAGAGAGAGAGAGAGGGAGAGGGAGAGAGAGAGAGAGAGAGAGAGAGAGAGTCAGAGAAGAAATAAACAAGTATTGAAGATAAGTCAAGGAAGATGAAGAAAGCAATTTCTTGAGAATTAGGAACTGTGATCACAATAGCTGGGGCCCAGCTGGGAACTGGAGTGAATATATAGTGGGAATGTGCTCTTGGAGGATTTTTGTCTTGGAACATTGTTCAAGACTATGCTTCTGTTTTATCTTGTGTATTATGTTTCCCCCAAGATGATTCTAACTTTTTGATACTAGATACAGAGCTCTGTGTGAAACATCTTTGAATAAAGTTAGGTATTAGTATAGGGGAACATTTTAGGCATAATTAAATGAAACAGCAGGGAAAAAATAGTAAGAACATTTCAACCAAAGTTCATCTAATGTTGTGATTATTTTCTTCTGATTATACAAGAAGTGGATGAAAAAACAAACCAAAAAGCACAAGAAATGGAAGAAAAAACAAATGAAAAAAATTCATAAAATGCAATAAATGGACAAAAAGATAAACCGAAAATTGCAAGAAACGATTTAAACAGTGCAAGGGTTGAAAACTGAAATAGAGACAATAAAAAAACACAATCTGAAGGAAGGCTGGAAATAGAAAAGCTGGGCAAACAAACGGTCAGGTACTACAGATACAAGAATTACCAACAGAATACAAGAGATGGAAGAGAGAATCTCAGGTGTTGAAGATACACTAGGAGAAATTGATTCATCAAGCAAAAAAAAGACAGACATTATCTGAGAGTTAAAGGTTGGAAAAAGATTTCACAATCAAATGGACCCAAGAAACAAGCAGGGGTAGCAATCCTAATATCTAACAAATTAGACTTTAAAATAAAATCAAACAAATCCCTAACACAAAACATCCAGGAAATATGGGACATCTTGAAAAAACCAAACCTAAGGATAATAGGTATGGAAGAAGGTGAAGAAAACTACCTCAGTGGGGCAGAAAACCTATTCAACAAAAACTTTCCCAACCACAAAAGGCCAAGCCAATGAAGGTACAAGAAGCTTACAGAACACCAAATAGAGTGGACCACAAAAAAAGCAATTGAAATAGACCTATAACACCTATGGAAATAGAAGCAGTCATCAAAAGTCTCCCAACCAAAAAAAGCCCAGGTCCAGATGGCCTCAGTGCAGAATTCTACCAGAAATTCAAAATGCAGCTTATATCAATTCTTCTCAAAGTATTCCACGCAATAGAAGCAGAAGGGTCTTTGCCAATCCCCAAGCCACACAAAGACACAACTATGAAAGAGAACTTCAGACCAATATCCCTCATGAACATTGATGCAAAATACTCAATAAAATACTGGCAAATCAGATCCAAGAACACATCAAAACAATCATTCCCCACAATCAAGTAGGTTTCATCCCAGGGACGCAGGGATGGTTCAACATAAGAAAATCCATCAATGTAATCCACCATATAAACAAGCTGAAAAACAAAAATCACATGATCATCTCACTAGAAGCAGAAAAAGCCTTTGACAAAATCCAACACTCCTTCATAATAAAGGTCTTGGAGAGATCTGGGATAACAGGAACATACCTAAATATAATAAAAGCTATATACAGCCAACATCAAACTAAATGGACGGAAACTCAACGCAATTCCACTAAAATCAGGAACAAGACAATGCTATCCACTCTCTCCATACCTTTTCAATATTGTACTTGAAGTTCTAGATAGAGCAATACGACAACAAAAGGAGATCAAGGTGTTACAAATTGGAAAGGAAGAGGTCAAACTTTCACTATTTGATGATATGATAGTTTACATAAATGACCCAAAGAACTCTACCAGGAAACTCTTACAAGCTGATTAACATCTTCAGCAACATGGCAGGCTACAAGATCAACTCAAGAAAATCAGTAGCCCTACTATCTACAGATGATAAAAGGGCTGAGAAAGAAATCAGAGAAACATCACCCTTTACAGTTGTCACAAACAACATAAAATACCTTGGGGTAATGCTAACCAAACAAGTGAAAGACCTGTGTCACAATAACTTTGAGTCTTTAAAGAAAGAAATTAAAGAAGCCCTCAGAAAATGGAAAGATCTCCCATGCTCTTGGATAGGTAGGATCAATGTAGTAAAAATGGCAATCCTGCCAAAAGCAATCTACAGATTCAATGCAATCCCCATTAAAATCCCAGCACAATTCTTCACAGACCTTGAAAGAACAATAACCAATTTTGTATGGAAAAACAGAAGACCCAGGATAGGCAAAACAACCTTACTCAACAAACGAACATTTGGAGGCATTACCATCCCCAACCTCAGTACTATTATAGAGCTGTAGTTCTGAAAACAGTTTGGTATTGGCACAAAAATAGACAGGTAGACCAATGAAATCAAATTGAACACCCTGATATTAACCCATACATGTATGAACATCTGATCTTAGATAAAGAAGCTAAAATATACAGTAGATAAAGAAGGCATCTTTAACAAATGGTGCTGGCATAACTGGATGCTGGCATGTAGAAGAATGAGGATAGATCCATGTCTATTGCCATGCACGAAACTGAAGTCCAAGTGGATCAAAGACCTCAACATAAATCCAGCCACACTGAACCTCTTAGAAGAGAAAGTGGGTGGTACCTTGAACAAATTGGTACAGAAGACAGCTTCTTGGACATTATACTAGTAGCACAGACAGTGAGGTCAACAATTAATAAATGTGACCTCCTGAAACTGAGAAGCTTCTGTAAGGCAAAGGCCACATTCAGCAAGACAAAAAGGCAGCTGACAGAATGGGAAAAATATTCACTAACCCCACATCTGACAGAGGGTTGATCTCCAAAATTTACAAAGAACTCAAAGAGCAAGTCTCTGAAACACCAAAGAATCCAATTAAAAAGTGGGCTACAGAACTAAATAGAGAATTCTCAATAGAGGGAGTCTAAAATGACTGAGAGGCACTTGAGAAAGTGCTCAACATCCTTAGCCATCCGGGAAATGCAAATCAAAACAACTCTGAGATACCATCTTACTCCTGTCATAATGGCTAAAATAAAAAACACCAACATCAATTTATGCTGGAGAGGTTGTGGTGAAAGGGAAACACTCCTCCACTTCTGTTGGGAGTGCCAACTTGTACAACCACTTTCAAAATCAGTATGGATTTCCTCAGAAAAATTGGAATAAACCTACCACAAGACCCAGCAACTCCACTCTTAGGCATATATCCATAAGATGCCCATTTTTACAACAAGGATGTCTGTTCCACTATGTTCATAACAGCATTTTTTTAACACCCAGAAATTGGAAGCAACCTAGATGCACCTCAACTGAAGAGTGGATAGAGAAAATGTGGTACATTTACACAATGGAGTACTATTCAGCAGAAAAAAAAACCAATGGAATCCTGAAATTTGCAGGCAAATGGATGGCACTAGAAGAAACCATCCTGAGTGAGGTAACCCAGTCACAAAAAGAGAAACATGGCATGTACTCTCTCATGTATGGATTTTAGACATAGATCTGTGGAGTGCCAGCCTACAATCCCATGGCCAGAGAGTCTGGGAAACAGAACCTTCATTCATTGGCTGATGGAAACAGAGGCAGACTCCCACAGCTAAACACTGAGCTGAACTCAAGAAATCCAGTTACAGAGAGGGAGGACTGATGAGCAAAGGGGCTAAGACTGGGCTTGTTTAATCCCCAGAAACAGATGACCTTACATGGGTTAGCTCTTGAATCCCAGACTGATGGCTGGGAATCCAGCATGGGACCGATCCAGACACCCTGAATGTGGGTGTCAGTGAGGAGGCCTAGGTAATCTATTGAGCCTTGGGCAGTAGGTCTGTATTCATCTCGGGTATACAAATGGACTTTGGACTCGCATCCAACAATGAGTGATGCACTCTCCCCCTGGACTCTTGGGGGAGGGTCTAGGCCCTGCCTTGGATGAAATGACTCTGGACACCCCCCCATGGAGGGCCTCACTCTCCCTGGGGAAATGAGGGAATATTGGAGGGGTTGGTGGGAGGGCGCAGGTGGAGGGGAGGGAAAGGGAGAGGTACCTGAAATCGACATGTGAAGTAACCTTGTTTCTAATTTAAATTTAAATTAAAAAAATAAATATAAAAATACTGCTCAGAGTTTTATAGAATTTGAATGTTGTGCAGATTCATGGATCCCTTTTGGGGAGAGTGTTGATGAAATAATAATGTGGT